CGCTGTTCGGCCCTTCCCCTGGGTTGCTGTACGAACCCGTCAGCGTCCACTCTCGGGGGGCCCTTGTCGGTACGGTACTCCTTCGTCCATGGGGGAGCACTGGTGCCACACACCTTGCACGACCAACGCTTGTCACACCAGTTCCAAGCGTTGCAGCCACGCTTAGCACACAACCAGTACGCCCGCCTGGCCAGCCCCGAGGCAACCTCCGACATGGCGGCACACCGTGGGACTGACTGCTGCTCGGCCGAAACTCTCGGCCCTGCAGGAACGAGGAGAACCAAAATTGGCGAAGCTTCTGGCTCTTGGCGAAGCGCCCCTCGCGCTCCAGAACGCCCGACGGACTCGCGGTCGTCGGGTGCGCCATAGCCTTGAGCCAAAATGGCTACGGACCGTGCTCCTGTGTGGTCTGCCGTGCTCCTGTGGTCTGCCGTGCTCCTTTGGGGTCTGCCGTGCTCCTGTGTGGACTGCCGTGCTCCTGTGGGGTTTGCCGTGATCCTGTGTGGTCTGCCGTGCTCCTGTGCGGTCTGCCGTGCTCTTGCGGGGTTTGCCGTGCTCCTGTCGGCTCTGCCGTGCTCGTTTTGGGTCTGCCGTGTTCCTGTTGGGTCTGCCGTGCTCTTGTGTGGTCTTCCGTGCTCCTGTGTGGTCTGCCGTGCTCCTTTGGGGTCTGCCGTATTCGTGTGGGGTCTGCCGGGCTCCTGTGTGGTCTGCCGTGTTCCCTTTGTGGTCTGCCGTGCTCCTGTGGAGTCTGCCGTGCTCCTGTGTGGTCTGCCGTGCTCCTTTTTTTCCGCCTGCCGTGCTCCTGCTCATTTTCTGAGGACGTCCCGAGCGAAAACGTCATTTTTAACATAAGAGGTTGTAAAACACCTCTGTCGGCATCTCATTTTTTCGAGGATGTCTCGAGCGAAACGCTCATTTTTCATCATAACAAAAAATTTTGATATTTTTGAACATCCCGATTTTTTGAGGATGTCTCGAGCGAAACCGTCATTTTTAACATAAAACGTTTTATACGATAGCCTCCAACATCGCGATTTTTCGAGGATGTCTCGAGCGAAATGGCCATTTTGGGGAATCCGCCAACGAAAAATACCGTGCAATCCCGCAACCCATAGATATAAAGATATATGTATATTTACTCAAGGATTCAGCCAGAACGTCCCGCTTGCTTCTCGTACCTCGAAGACGCTTCCCGTCATCCGCCAACGAAAAATACCGTGCAATCCCGCAACCCATAGATATAAAGATATATGTATATTTACTCAAGGATTCAGCCAGAACGTCCCGCTTGCTTCTCGTACCTCGAAGACGCTTCCCGTCAAACTCCCGTGCAATCCCGCAACCCATAGATATAAAGATATATATATATATATATTTACTCAAGGATTCAGCCAGAACGTCCCGCTTGCTTCTCGTACCTCGAAGACGCTTCCCGTCATCCGCCAGCGAGTTGCGGGATGGAATCGGTACCCCTTAGTTAAAGAAAATTAAGCCCCTGAACCAACGGTGCACGCCGGAGGCGCTTCCCGTCATCCGCCAGCGAGGTGCGGGATGCAATCGGTACCCCTTAGTTAGAAAAAATTGAGCCCCTGAACCAACGGTGCACGCCAGAGGCGCTTCCCGTCATCCGCCGGCCCCCGTGGGGCCAACAGGCTACGAGACCGAAGCTTTCCTGCAAGCTGCAACAGATAGTTTCTGGCCACTGGCCCCACCTGTAAAATCTTGCTGCGCGCGCCAGGGCCCGACGCTGAAAACCTTTGACTTACCAATCGCGATCCCTGCATGTCTGGAGGGCCCTGGGGCACGTATAAATACGACTGGCCCGCTCTCTCGAGGCCGCGATCCCCCGTGAAGTGCGACGCACTCGCGCCCCCGAGGCCCCAATCCCTCGTAAATCCCACAGCCCTTTAGGCCGTAAGTGGTTTAGCGAGCTCGTTCTCCAAACCCCTTTCTTCCTTTTTGGGGCGGGGTTTTACCCCAGCCCCTATTGCACCCCCCCCCGGGTCTGGAGGGGGTAGGCGCGAGGTGTGAGAGAGTCCTCGTTGGCCCAAAATGGTCCCAAGACAGCTTCATATAGCCCAAAATGGTTTCCAAGATGGCACATGGTAGTCCAAGACGGTCGAAGACGACATCCGAAACGCTTCCAATAGGCCCCAAGACCGCTCCCAGACGACTCGAAACTACCACGGGCCCTCCCAAGGAGGCCCCCCAAAGGCCAATATACATCACGCACGTGTCGTTTTTCAATGTTGTTTGCATTCTCGCCTTTTCGCTTCCGATGGGCTCCTGAAGCCTCAAGATGGCTCCAAGATGGCCCAAGAGAGTCCCAGGAGGGGCCAGGGAGCGCGGATCAGATCCGTGCGCCACAGGCGAGACCGCGCAGTGTGGGAAAGCCTGCGAGGTGTGAAATCTGCTGGGTGGGCCAGGGCAACGACGGCGGCCGCCTGCGAACACCACTTATGGAGCCGTGCAGCGGGCCCAAATTTGCCGCGAGACTTTCAGTGACGGATTGGAATGGACAAGCAACGCGCGCGCAACCGCCCCAAATGCGGCCGCGGTTGGGGCCCAGCTTGGGAAACAAACGTGATTGGGGCGCGCCCCTTGCAATGCGAAGGGCGAACGCGTTGCCCCCCGCAAGAACATCAGCTCATGTCGCGACTAAACGGGCACGAAGCGAATGATGAGAGAGGGAGTTTTCAACGACGGGCGCGCACGACCGCCTCATCAATACGGGACTATACGAAGCTCGATCTGCAATGCGGAACGCGTGACAGACGGATCCTACATGTACTTGAATCTGCCTACCAAGGCTAGAAGTCCACACTGGGCCCCCATTTTCGGGCGCCATTTGCGTGGCCGGCGGTGCAGATTAATCCCACGGGCGCGCGAGGTCGTCACATGTGGCGGCGCAGTCAGGCGGGCCGCATGCGCGAAATTGCGAAGACGGGGCGAGCCAGGCCAACGGAGGAGGAACGAACAACGAAGCGTGGAGAGAATCAAGAAGAGAACGGATCGTGCGCCGAAGCGAAGAGAACGCAAGCGCCCAACTCCAATAGGAACAACGCGCCCATCATGTTGTGAGAGCCACATAGAAAACGATGGCGGGTCTAGTCGCGTCAAAGTACCTTAACTTGCGGAACAACGCGTACGGTGCGGAAGCCCGATTCATACTGGTGCTGTGTGCGCCCGAGCAGCAGGGCCCGAGTAGATCGACGGCAGCCACTCCGAGCGGGGCGGGCGGCCCGCCCTCCGGAGCGGGGCCAGGGGTGGTGAGTAGGGGGCGGCTGCGGCGGCCATCCCCGCGGCTGGCTCGCAGAACCTGGGGGCGCCCCTGGGTCCTGCCGGCTCGCGGGTGGGAGCGGCGCCCTTGTGTCAGCTGGCGGATCTGGCGGCACGCTGCCGTACCTGGACGGTCTCCTCGGGCGAGGTCCCAGTGGACTTACCGCGCCAGGCCGACGTTTCAGACTGGGGCCAGGCGCCGCCCACAGGCCGAGGGAAGTCGCGGGACACCGGCCGCGAGCGGGGGAACCAGGCGGAGCGTGCCGTGGGTCCTGGGTGCGGGGGGGCTGCCCACCGCCGAACACACGCGGCCAGGGGAGGGGGCGTCGTCCTCTGGGTGGGCCGTTCCCAACATGATCGCGTGCGAGCGCGACGAGCAGCGTCCTTTAATGAGACGGTTGGCGAGGGCCCGCTCTTGGTCGCGGTCCAAGAGCCGTCATTCACGTAGGTGTTTGTTGCCCCACGCGGCGCACAGGTCGGAGAAGAACCCGGGCTCCAGGAGCCGCGGGTCGGAGTGGAAGAACGGCCTGCTGGGAGGTGCAGCATGAATGAGGCAATCGCAACGAGTATCAGGCTTCCAGAGAGACTGACGAATGTTGTGGACGCGCGCCAGCAGCTCGGCGGGAGGGTTGGCTTGTGCTGGGGCGTACCCGCGAGGCTGTTCGCCGGTTGGTTAGCGCCCAGTCGCGCCGGGCGATCGACAAGCGCGCTCGAGAAAGGCGCGCCAAAACCGAACCTGGTGAAACCCCAGCTGCACCCAGCCCTGGGCCATGAGCACCAGGTCGGTTCGCGGGAGCTCGCCAATGGGCGTCTGGGCTAGCCTGCAGAAAGGTCCGGGCTGGGGGGCGTGCCCGCAGCGGTGTCCGTTGGCGCGGCGTCCAGGGCGGCGGCGCTGGCGGGCCCGCGAGCATGGCTGGGGGAGCATAAGCAGCTGGCCCAGCGAATGGCGAAGCGCTTGCGGCGACGCTGGGCGGAGCGAGGCCACACATACACACACATACATACAGACACACACACACACACACACAATTGTCCCTCGAACGCGGCAGAGGGCCGCAACCACTGGATATCCAGCACACACGCTAGCACACACGCACAAACATATACACACACGCACACTTAACTTTCAGCAGTTGCGCGCTCTGCGCCACAGCGGTGATACTGGGTCAATTGCCAGAGTGCGAGCGCGTGCGAATGGAAGCAAAAACGACAGAAGGACCAGTGCATGCACGTACACACGCACGAATCGTAAGGCGAACGCCAGCCCACCGCCCACCTGCCACCCACTACCCCACCATCAACAATCCACCATTCACCCACGCCATTCACTAATGCAGACTGCAGCATCTGCCCTTCCAGGTGGACACTATGAAAGAACGAATGCCATCACAGGCCTCCACGGGGCACCAAAATCTGTTACAGAAGAAGTCCCGCCGGTCCCCTGGGCGAGACTCTCTGGAGCTTCCCCTGTCACTTTAACACGTCCACTTCCCCAGGCCACGCCTACAACGCAGCCAAACTATCACAGGATCCCCATCGCCCAGCTAGATACAAGAGCTCAAATCAAGGAACAACGGGACAGAAGTGTGTTGCGCAGCCATCGGAACCACAGTTCAGCCGAGCCGAATGACCACCTTCTTCGGTTCACGAAACAGTGCACGCCGGACAAGAGTCTTCCAAGATACCCCACAACACCATCAATCATCTCGGAGGGGACGATATCTGAAGCTCGGGGCATTCAAACACAATGGAATGTCAGTACCATCGTCACCTAAACTACCACATCAAGAGCAGCGTCGCGCTGCGCTGGGCCGCCCTCATCAACGGCTCGTTGTCCTGGAAGCGAGCCGTGGGCAAATGTTGCTACATGAGCAACGCATGACGACATCGTGTAAGATGCAAGCGTGCTTGCCAATGAATCAAGCTGGCGTGTGCTGGCTACTGGGCCTCTGCTTAAAGCCCCAGACAATCAACACACATCTTCGGATTGCCCATTCGTCTCCCTCCTCATTCTCGTATTGCTGCTGCTGCTCCTTTTTGCTCGGCCTCGTTCTCCTGCCTGCTGCCTGACCGTGCCCCTGCTCCTGCTTCTTCTCATCATGCCCTTCGACATCGACCCCATCCACTCGTTGCCCTCCGAGTGCGCAAGCCACGGCACAACCAATAGCGAGCCGTTTATGCTTGGCAGCAAAGGATGCAAACACTGGCACCGCAGATGTCAAGCTGACATATTCCTGGCAACTGAAAGGCCCAACAATTAATAATAACTGGCCACCAGTCACATGTTTGGCAATCCAGCCAACAAAATGTGACGCAACCAATAGCAGGCCGTTTTAGGCTCGGCAGCCGACGGCTCAATCTGTGGCGCAAGCAAACATAGTCCGTCCTATGTTTGTCAGCCGATGGCACAACCGATGGCGCAAACGATGGCGCAACCACACGCAAGCAATGATACGTTCGGCAGCCAAGGGCACAGCCAACGCAACACACAGTACAATCCATGTATGGCGCAACCACGGGTGTGTCACCCACGCATGACGCAACCGACAACGCAACCATTGGTGCCACACATGGATGGCGCAACCTATGTCGCAATCAATGGATCGCGCAACTCATGGCGGAACCGATGGATGGCGCAATCTATGGCGCAACCCGTGGACAGCGCAACCCGTGGATAGCGCACCCGTGGCAGTTTCGACTCGGCCAGGCCTGGCTGATGCTCGTTGCTTAGGCTGGCGACGGGACCAACGAATTGCATTGTGATAAAATGAAGGGCTCGAGAGCCTCAGGGGGGGCGGCCGCCAGGAGTGAGAGGGGGGCCACCGCCGCGCACGCCGCCGCCGACGGGGCTCTCCCCCAGATCCCCCCCGTCGTCGTTGTCGTCGTCGTCGTCGTCGTCGTCGTCGTCGTCGGTCGTCGGTCGTCGGTCGTCGGTCGTCGTCGTCGTCGTCGTCGTCGTCGTCGTCGTCGTCGTCTGTCGTCGTCGTCGTCGTCGTCGTCATACGTCGTCGTCCGCCCCGCCCACATCCTCACAGGCAGCACCCTCGCCTCATGAGGCGTCGAGTTCATGCATCGGGGGGCCTACAAGGTGCTGGGGTCAGCCTCTGCATGGTCCTTCTCCTCCACCTCCTTCTGTTCCTGCCTCCTCCTGCCAGAGGCGCTCCTGCATCCTGCCCGCCGTGTCGACCAGCACCACCTCATGGCCGTTGTTC